ATAACCAGGCCCTATTATCTCAGTACAAAATCCGCGTTCACAACGCGTAGTTCCAGTCACGACCGCTAGGCGCAAATTTGGCGCTAGTGAGCCGATGACAAGTTTGACAGGTTAGTAATTCACGAGCAATATGTACCAGAAATGTCAAAATTTTGTTTTGATTCTTATTGTGATTGTTGTGTTTACAAGTGTTTTATAATTGTTTATACGGTTTTATTTGTGATTCAAACAAAATCTATAACTCTTAAATGAAGAGGATATAAAGCAATTGTTAAAAGCAGTGTATATATAAAAATTTAATCACAATACATTTTGGGAGCAAGCTAGGGGCTCTTTTATAAGAAAAGCAGGCTCTTCTAACTTTTCAGAATTGTATTAAACTTTGGAGGCTCTTAAAATATATGGAAAAGCATAAATAGACTAGACTTTACATTTTTTAGGAACGCCACTGAGTTAATGAACGAAATCCAATTGCCGTGCAAGATGATAAAATAAGTTAATTTAATGCAGCAGTTTTTTGAATATTCAAGATAAAATCAAGAGCCATTTAGCATGACTGGATTTTTCGCAAAGAATGTGCTGAAAAGTGACAAATCTTACTTGAATGATTATTAGTTAATAAAGTAATGCACAGACACTATAATTTAAACATGATGTTTTGTGTTCACAACATTATTGGTAGTGAATAATGAATGATTATCCACTTGAAGGCAGGAATCCTGTAATTCGTTAATCTTTTTATTTTTCCCTTTTTTTAAATAAATATGTTTGTTGCAACATATTGCTATTTACTTTGATATCTATTTTAATATATGTATTATTGTTTGGTATGTTTTGTTATTGTATAACAATGTCAATATAAGACTATTGTAATGCAAAATTTAAATACAAATAAATTATTTTTAAAATTGACAATTTTCTTTTATTTCTAATTTTGGCGCTTTAATTTGAATGCATTTTGGAGCACGAGGCTGCCGAGCGACATGCGATTAAAGCGCCATCACCCAATATTGCGGTCGTGACTTTCCCTAGCTCTCTGAACGCAAATACCGCGAGAGAGAAACGTCTATATTAGTATATTGTCTAGGGCCATAACCTGAGTGTCAAAAGTACACTTTTTATTTGTGTTATTTATAAAACGTGATTTTGTACTTGTGTCGACAATTATACATATTGCTTTAAAAGGCCAAGGAATTTATTGATGTAATTGCCTTCTTCCTGTTTTGACATATCATTTACCAATCAGCTGTTAACCTATATTTTAAGACTCCAGCAGATGACAATAAATTTTCACGAATTCAAAAAATAATGGGAGGAAAATGACATACTCTATGATAAAGTATTAATGTACGAAAAGAAAAGTTCGTGAATTATCCATAGATAATTAACAATGTTAGATGGCAATATACACCAAACTAAAAGACAGCAAGATATCTTCAAAAAATGTTTATATTAATAAATATTTAAAATGAATAGTACCTTCTGAAATAATGTGGAATGTATTTGGTCTTACATCATTTGACCCATTGAGCCAGTTTTCAGAAATGTGGTATCAAATATTTCTGTGGTCGTTAATTTCATCTATAGTTGTTCATGTATTTGCTGCTCTATTGCATTTATTACACTAAGGAAGCATCAGTTTGGCAAGTTTTTTTCAATATTTATTCTTTTGATGGGAAAATATCTCCAATCACTTCTGGCGTGGTGAGCAGTGCAGTGATTGCTTTTGTCCACCGTACATCTTGTCTACAAATGTCACCTATATATGCCATGTTTTGGGGCGTAGGGCAAACTGTTGTTTCAATTTGTGTTGGATTTACTAGGATATTAGCAACTTTATAATTATGTTATGTGATATTATGCATTTTGCAATTAACAAATTGTATTTCAAATTTAATCTATTTAAATAAGACATAATTTTGTATATATAATGTTATTTTAGCAATCAAAAAGTTTTGTGTATATAAGTTTAAAATTAAAAGCTAGTTTAATTATACTTGTTTATTATGCTTATATTTTCAGAAATACTATATAAGGAAAAATGATATAGTTGTTGGTCTTATTCTCAAGCACAAATAATTCCTGCATTAATAAATGACAAAACTTCTCTGCATTCATGTATATAAAAAAAACATTTACATTACAAGATCTGCATCAAAGTGATTTATCTTTCTTTTTGTTAAGTGGATAAGAAATGTTCCTTAAAGAGAATGTTGGAATCTGATTGGATGTAAATAATAGGTCTAATTTGCACAAATTATTTTGAGTTAGTTACTAAAGAATATTCAGTATATTATTAGTGCAAAATAAAGAAACTAGACAAACATTAATATTAAAATAAAAAATATAAATAATTGAATTAAACTGTAACCAGTAGATTCTTTACATGACTTATTTTGAAACTGTTGTAAAACTTATTTATGGTCACTATGTACATAAACTTATAATCTTATCTTATTAACATTGTAATTAATAAACAAAAAGTTACGTTAACAGCAAGAAATTACTTTCCCTCTGTGATTAAATTTGTAAAATGAGGATAAATTCCTATTAGTTTCCCATAATTTAGCGCTTAAATCCACACATGCCCGTATTTCTTTGAAGTCTCCTCCTGTCTGTAGGATACTGAACATGATCAGACATAAACTAGCCACACCTTGAAATGTTATCTAAAATTTAGATAAATTATTAAGTATTAGAAAACCTGATGAATGCTTCAATATTAACTAAAACAATTAGTTAATATTTAAACAGTAAAGCAAGTTGGAAATCTTAAATATAAATGTATAGTGTATTGTATAATTATTGTAGTGGTCCATCGTAGAGAGCCAATAGAAAATACTAATTTGAAACTCTTACTCAGAAAGTGCATAAATACATTTATTTGTTTCGTGACTTTTACATGTTTAATGTTACTGGTAGTAACGAGTACATCATGCTTAACATTTTCACATACAATAACATATTGTATACAATATGTCATTTAATTTATACTCACATCGAACGGCAAGCCGGTAAATTCTACATCCATATTTCTTAAAAACGTTCGATCTAAAAGACAATATATATGAAATAGCACAATCAATTAATAACAAATTTTAATTATTAAACTCACGCTGAGCTGCTGAGATAGCTGTATGAAATAGCATTACAAAGCCTATGAATAATAAGATTTTATAAAGTAATTTTGACATTTTACTGACAATTTAAAATAACGCTAAATAAATTAATTTTTTATTTGACAGCGCTAAGCATGAATCGGCCAAATTAAGTGAGGTTATGATTGATTATGATGACAATCTAGCTGCTGTCACAGCAGAGACGACAGTAGCGCCAGACGACGGGTTCTAAAACCTATTTGTCGCACACGGGAAACGTTCAAAAATTATAAAAAAATCTACTTTTCACTTTTTAAACCCGATAATGCTATATAGTATAATTTTCATATTTTAATAAAAATTTTAAAATATCCGATGAATAATAGGTTTGCTTTAAAAATAACAGTGAAATATAAAATTATATACTATAATATACTATATATACTATAATTTTCATATTTTAATTAAAATTTTAAAATATGTATTTTATACGTATTTATAGTATATAATTCTATATTTCACTGTTATTTTTAAAGCAAACCTATTATTTATTGGATATTTTGAAATTTTAATTCATTAGGTACCTAATGAATAATAGGTTTGCTATAAAAATAACAAAAAACTATAATATTATATACTATAAATACTACATTTATTCTATATATACTATATATACTAATAATTTTCATATTTCAATTAAAATTTTAAAATATTAATGAATAATAGGTTTACAATAAAAATAACAGTAAATTATAAAATTATATACTGTAATAAACTATAGTTATACTATAATGTACTGTAATTTTCATATTTTAATTAAAATTTTAAAATATCTAATGAATAATAGGTTTGCTATAAAAATAACAGTAAAATATAAGATAAATTAAATATAAATGCCTATGTTTTATATTAGCAATAAAAAAATAATTTGTAAACAGAAGTGATTTTTGATGACAATTTAAGTCCCAGAAACAGAATATACTATATATACTATAATACATATACTCTTCTTGTATCTATGCATATACTTACGTAATACAAAGTCAATACAAACCATTATGAAGATGATATTTACAAAAGTATAAAAATAAGTTATTTATGAAGAATATTTGCACTCACTACCATATAATCCACAATTTAAAGATGATTTGAGTTTATTATGATTTTATATAAAAACTTTAATAATTAATACAATCGGTATGTTAATAATTATATTTAATTTAATACTTATATATTTGAAAGATCCGAATTGAGGATCTTGAATGTTTCAGAGGATCTATTTTGATGTCATTGTACCTGATGATGACCCATATCTGTAATTAAGAGGCCTCAATTAATTAAAGGAATTACTATTTAAAATAGTAAAAATTAATTATTGTTTAGATTTTATTTCAGTTGAGAACAGCAAACGTCCAATATCTGATATCGTTGCAGTTCATCATCGAAAATAATAAAAATAGCAAACGTACAATTTATAATATCGTTGCAAAAATATAATGAAAACAGCAAACGCCCAATTTATAATATTATTGCCTTAAAAATAATAAAAAAGCAGCAAACGTCCAATTTATAATATCGTTGCCAAAAATATAATAGAAGCAGCAAACGTCCAATATATAATATCGTTGCCAAAAATATAATATAAATAGCAAACGTCCAATTTATAACATCGTTGCCAAAAATATAATAAGAGCAGCAAACGTCCAATTTATAATATCGTTGCCATAAAAATAATAAGAGCAGCAAACGTCCAATTTGTGATATCGTTGCCAAAAATAATAAAAAATGGCAAACGTCCAATTTATAATATCGTTGCCAAAAATATAATAAGAGCAGCAACGTCCAATTTGTAATATCGTTGCCAAAAATAAAAAATGGCAAACGTCCAATTTATAATATCGTTGCCAAGAATATAATAAAAACAGCAAACGTCCAATTTATAATATCGTTGCCAAAAAAATTATATTTGTACCTGATAATGTCCATCACTGATGAAGATTCTAAATTGAGGACCTCGGATGTTCCAGAAGATCTATTTGGATATCATTGTTCCTGATGAATGCCCATATCTGTAATTAAAAGAGTCTTCGATTAATTAAAGAAATTACTATTTAAAATAGTAAAAAAATATTGTTTAGATTTTATTTTAGTTGAGAACAGCAAACGCCCAATTTATAATATCATTGCTGTTCATCTTTAAAAATAATAATAGCAGCAAACGTCCAATTTGTAATGTCGTTGCCAAAAATATAATAAGAGCAGCAAACGTCCAATTAATAATATCGTTGCCAAAAATATAATATAAATAGCAAACGTCCAAACTATAATCGTTGCCAAAAATAATGGAAATAGCAAACGTCCAATTTATAATATCGTTGCATTAAAAATAATAAAAAATAGCAAACGTCCAAATTATGATATCGTTGCCAAAAATATAATGAAAGCAGCAAACGTCCAATATCTAATATCGTTGAAAAATATAATATAAATAGCAAACGTCCAAATTATGATATCGTTGCCAAAAATATAATAAAAACAGCAAACGTCCAATTTATAATATCGTTGCCATAAAAATAATAAGAGCAGCAAACGTCCAATTTGTAATATAAATGCCAAAAATAATAAAAAATGGCAAACGTCCAATTTATGATATCGTTGTCAAGAATATAATAAAACAGCAAACGTCCAATTTATAATATCGTTGCCAAAAAAATTATATTTGTACCTGATAATGTCCATCACTGATGAAGATTCTAAATTGAGGACCTCGGATGTTCCAGAAGATCCATTAGGATATCATTGTTCCTGATGAATGCCCATATCTGTAATTAAAAGAGACCTCAATTAATTTATGTCATTACTATTTAAAATAGTAATAAAATTAATTATTGTTTAGATTCTATTTCAGTTGAGAACAGCAATCGACCAATTTATAATATCGTTGCCGAAAATATAATAAAACCAGCAAACGTCCAATTTATAATATAGTTGCCTTTAAAATGATAAAAGCAGCAAACGTTCAATTTATAATATCGTTGCCAAAAATAATAAAAAATGGCAAACGTCCAATTTATAATATCGTTGCTAAAAATATAATAAAAACAGCAAACGTCCAATTTATAATATCGTTGCCAAAAATATAATAAAAACAGCAAACGTCCAATTTATAATATCGTTGCCAAAACTAATAAAAAATGGCAAACGTCCAATTTATAATATCGTTGCCAAAAATATAATAAAAAACAGCAAACGTCCAATTTATATTATCGTTGCCTTAAAAATAATAAAAATAGCAAACGTCCAATTAATAATATAGTTGCCAAATACATAAAAAAATATAGCAAACGTCCAATTTATAATATCGTTGCTAAAAATATAATAAAAACAGCAAACGTCCAATTTATAATATCGTTGCCAAAAATATAATAAAAAATAGCAAACGTCCAATTTATAATATCGTTGCTACATTCACCGTGAAATTAAAATATCAATAGAAATAAGAATAGATCTTTTAACAATGTATGTAATTTTTGTTCAAAAGAATTTATGATAATAAAAAAAATATGACAGAATTTTCTTCAAAAGGAAGGTTGATTAGTATTTTTCAAAAAATTACAAATAATTTCAAATTTTCAAACAAAATTGTATTCAGCTCGTGATATTGATGTATCATTACAGATACAATTGTATTGCTGAAATTGAAATGAAAACTTTCGTTAGTTGACAGTTGATAGCCGCCATTTTCTTTCGGTACAACACCAAAAAACTTGAGTTTGCTTTTTCGCAAAAAAAAACTATACAGAACCATTTTTTAATGTAAATAGATACACTGGATCGAAATGTATCGAATTTTAAGTAATAATACGTCGTGGAAACGACTGTTTTGTCTAAAACAGAACAAAACCACCAGTTGTGGCTATGGCCGCCATCTTGGATTTTCCAAAACCACAAATTTTAAATCGCAAAAAAATGCTAAAATCTCGATAAATAATGACAAAAAGTGCAATAATATTAAATAAACCTATACATATTTATCGTAAATCAGCAAATAAAGCACGCATACGACATTTTAAAACACGCAAAACTTCGTTGGCATCTGAACCAGACGGCGTCACTTGTGGTGTTTAAAATGCAATAATTGTGCAAAATAATACAATATAGAAGAACTTACCTTTTTTTAAATGCTCGTTGTACACTGGAACACACTTTTAAGACACTGATTTGTATTAAAATAATAATATTTACTTATTTGTTGCACTGCACTGCGCGGAGATGTTAACAGTTCGGATGCTGACGCGCTAATGAGCTGCGAGCTGATTAGTAGCTAATTTAATAGCTGTTGCACGGATTCAAAATGGCGGATGCGGATGCTGAGCAAAACATTCCTTGAAGGAACACATAAAGCTCGTTCGATATTTCGGTTTAAATCAGGCTATATGGGCGAGGTGATTTGATGAATATAATAAACCGAGTTAAAACTCAATCCCGCACCCTTTTAAGCACTTTTCCTTCAGTAATTAAACATCACAACAGCAAGTGGAATTGTTTAGGGATTACTACAGCAACAAATAATTTTTAAGCTAATTATTAAAACCACACACTGATACTAGCTGAAAAAAACTTAAAATAAATCATGGATATCAATTATTAAACAACAAACCGCGTATTGTACTAATTAATTAAGAAAATTTCAAAGTAAATCCACTTGTTGACAATCAAATCATAACCGCAAATACAAACACTAGTTTTACAAGCACAAAAATGTTAAAAAACGTTGGTAAACTTATAACTGATGCATCACTTCAATAATGCATATCGCATTATTATCTTATATAATCTATAAATTATATTAATAAATATAAAAATAAATAAACACATTTTTTCAATATTTTTTGGTTTGAAATGACAACAAAAACAATGTGAAGTACACCAAAATTTTTGCAGTGTCACCAACACAAAAAGTAATTTAAATTTTTGCACAATATATATTTAATTAAATACACGTTGAATATATTAATTGTAATTTAAACACGTATTGCCTAAATACTCCAGAACTAATAATAATATATAAAAAGATATATTTTAAGTTTTTAGGCAAATTCCTTCTCTCTTATGTCAAACCTGTACCAACGTCCATTTTATGTCAAACCTGTACCAACGTAAATGCAAGAAGTTCTATTTGTGTTTACTGAGTACAAAAACATAAAAACCTAATACATCAATACAATAGGTATGTTAATAAATTATTTAAAAACTTACAAGTATATAGTATACAATAGTTTTTCCGTAGTTTTTATGTGCATAGCAACAAACATATGTGCACACATAAGTTTCTCTATTTTTACACAGGAACAGATTTTTCTATTTTTTTGTTTCTTTATTTTTACATACAAGAACAAATATATTGAATTTATAACGAAATTATGATTATTTAGGTTTTAGATGAAGATATTATGTACAAAATGAGATGTAAAAATTAGTGTTATATATATATATATATATATATATATATATTATGCTTATTTATCTATGATACTAATAATATAAGTGTAAGTTGGGCATTGTAAGTTGTAGTATGGTTGTAGTCACTCTTCTTTTATCTATGGTTGTAGTCGTTGTAGTTGTAAGACGTTAGACATATATCGATATTTTAATTGATATCGCTATGTCTTGCTATGCCTAAAATATATTTTTTTAATTAATTATTCAAGCTATCTAATTATAAGCATACTTATTGAATATCGTAGCTCCCTTATAATTCTTAGATAATCAATGTTAATATAAAAAAGGCTACTTGCGCCGATAGCTTCGTTTCCATACATATGGTTCTCGAATATCGACCCAATATTGTCATTTTCGTTCTTTTGAAGCGGGGAGAAAATTGACACTTCTATTTTAAAAAATGAATGTCGCAACTTCATGTTTGTGTAATTAGTACAGTGATTAGATGATTTGTGACAAATAATAATTTATTTATCAAAGTAGAAGATCAGAATTGGCCGACGTAATAAATACAAAGTCTACAAATAGAGCTTGGATATAAAATTTACCCAATTTCACCACGTCGAATACTTGTGAGAAAAAGAGATTATTTGTTACTTATATTTTATTGTTATCTTAAATGAATGAGGTTATATGTTTTAAATGATTAGAAACCTACATTTGGCTTTATTAAATAAATTTTAAATTACATTTTTATATTTACATTTAAAATGTTCATTTAGAAATATGGTAATAACATATAAAAACCTTTTTTCAAAATGTAAAGAAGAAATGAAAATGTAAAGCAGTATTAAATTTTCTACTTAGCACCAATCATTTTTGAAATATGACTTTAGTGTAGTAATTGTCCATGCGTAACATAAAATTACATGATTTATATGTTTACTAACTTTTATGTTTGTTTTCAGGTATACTTGTGATTGATTTGTAGCTAGTTATCACTATCTTTGTATAATAAAATGTTTAAAGTACCGCCACTTGTTTTGCCAGCGGCAACAAATCACACTTCTACTGTGATTTTCCTTCATGGATTAGGCGACACTGGTAATGGCTGGGCGGCAGCCATGAGTGAAATTAAGCCTCCTCATACCAAAGTCATATTACCTACTGCTCCAACTATTCCAGTAACAATAAATGCTGGTGCTAAAATGCCTTCATGGTTTGACTTACATGGATTGAATCCTAATACACCAGAAGATGAAACGGGTTTAAATGCATCCACTGAAAAAATTCACTCTTTAATAGACAAGGAAGTTGCATCAGGAATTCCTTCTAATCGTATTGTTCTAGGAGGATTTTCACAGGGCGGAGGTTTGGCTTTATATGCTGGTTTACGTTGCACCAAATCTCTGGGTGGCATAGTAGCATTATCATGTTGGCTACCTATGTTCAGAAACTTTCCTGATCCAAACCTGAAGTGTTCACCAGACGTTCCAATTTTTATGTGTCATGGTGATTGTGATCCTGTTGTTCCATACAAATGGGGTCAAGCATCTCATAAAGTTTTGAGAAACTTTATGAATAATTGTGAATTCCATACTTATCCGGGACTTATGCATTCTTCTAATCAAACCGAGCTGAATGATATAAAATCATTTCTCGATCGAATTTTACATGCTTAATAATGCTAATGAGTTTTAAAATTATTTCTAGAAAGTACTTTTAGTTACTGTATCACCAATCCTAAATAATGTACTAATATACATAAACTATATTATTCAATATATATTATGTGCTTTTTAAAACTGGTTGAATTCAACAAATAGTTGTTTGCACTATTATATTAATTATTTTATTGTATCTTAATTTATCTTAGCAATTAAAAAAGTTGGATATAAACCAGCTGTATATACATCTCTGCCTGTTTTTAAATCAGTAGAAAATTATGTATTTCATTAAAAGTATTGACAATATATAGTGCATATCCTTAAGATCAAAAAATTAGTCCTAAGATGAGAACACTAAATTTGAATTTCTCAATGTTTAAGTAATTTAGTTTCATATTGTAATAATATGGATAAAAAAGTCAGTTTCTTTAAGTAATAATTATATGTATAATGTGTTATTCAATGATTATAGAGTAATAAATCAATTTAATGAGAATTTTGCATATACTTGTACATAAATAAATTTTCATTACCACGTACTGAATCCTAAATTAGAAGCTAAAAGTCATCTTTAATTTGAATTTTACAGAGTTAAATATAATATATATATATATATATATATATTATATATATATATATATAACTGTACCTATATATATATATTGAGAAATTAGTTAACTTTACAGTTGTTATAAAAGTGTGAGGTGTGACATACACATCAAAAAATAACCGAAAAAATTCCAATATTCCTTCTTTTTTTCTGTGTATTTCAGGAGATTTTATACATAGATAAAAAAAGAGTAATTTTATGCTTATTGAAAGAGCTATTAGTTTCTTATATTTTTAACGGTTTTGATTTCAAAGCATAAAATAAGTGAACGTCATGGCTTAACTTGAATTCGGGATCTCATCATACAATTACTGTTTCATTCTTGTTTTTAAAAAACAACAGTTTGGCTATTATTGAATTACACAATCAGGTAATTATTGAATTAAATTTTATACTTGACTATCTATGAATGAATGCAATTATTGCGTTCAAGTCTTGGTTGTTGTTAGAGGTCAGCACCATTATTTTGCCTGAACACATGTCATGAAGTTTGTCAAAATGTTAAGCGCTCTTTTTAGCCAAGACAATATAATTATAAGCTTTTTAGTGTTTAGCAACTAGACAATGTAATATTTCACACAGGCTTTCAGCCCCTGCACAATATAATCATGCCTAGTGTTAAGTTCTTAATATTAGTTTATTAAATATGTGAAATGTGAAATATTATTAGTTACTATAAACCGATTTAAGTATTCAGTTATAAGAAATGTCAAAATATAACAGCATAATTGATATATCTTCGGATGAAGATATAACATTTGATTTAAAAAATGATGAATGTAAAGAAAAATCAAAACAGAAAAAGTTAAATGATTTTTTTGATTTTTCACCTGAGCGTAAAATAACTGTACCTGATACTGATTCTTCAAACAGCCCAAAAAACAATTCTTATCAAGATGACGGTTGGGAAAAGAAGTTTATGGTAAATATAAAGCATATATAATATTTTAATACACTTAAAACATATTATGTTTATTGAAAAATAGCCCATAGTTTAGTAATTATTAACCAAATATTTATTTTTATTTCAACAAAAGTAATTGTATTAATAAAATAATAGATAATTATATTTGAATCATTGTTCTTATGGTTTTGTAAACATTGCTTAATATTAAAGATTGCTTATATTTTATAAGTACATGTTTTGACAGAACATGTTATGTATATTTTCTTCTAAGTTTATTCAGATCTTCATATTCGTTTCATTATTAAATATTAATTATAATAAAAATTAATTTTTTTTAAATTGTAAAGAATCAGTTTGGTTCAATGCCATTATATAATTGATATTATTTATGTTATCTTGGTAAAAATTAAATTTTAATTTATAAATTAATTTACGCACACTTATCTGGAGTTCCACCTATATTTGTTTAAAAAATTGTATATATGTATTATTTCTATTTTTGATAATTTATTCTTTTTAGCCTATTAGTCCAGAAAATAAGAAAACATCTCCTAAAGATGAACTCGATCATTCTATATTAAATATGGATTTTTATGATTCAGCAAATAGAGATCAAACTCTTCAGATTATATCAAATTCGCCAAATAAAAAGGACATTATAAAAACAGAAGACAAATCACTAGATAATTTAAGAACTTTAGTTCATAATAAACTTGGTATAAACATTGAAGGTTCAGATGAATCAGATATTTTACTGTCAAAAATCAAAGATATTGTTGAGATATATGACAGTACACGAGTAGGTCTAAATTATGATTATTTTTATTACATAGTCGATATATCCTAAAAATTAAATCACTTGAAATATTTTAGAAATCTAAAGCGGAGCTTGAGGGAAACATGAATAATCTGAAAAAAATGTATATCGAAATTCTGGAATTTTTATGCATCATTTTTAGACAAGGTTCCATTTAAAGTACTGTGTGAATTACCAGGCTTCAATGAAAATCTTTTTAAGAGTGCAGAACTTTTAAAACATAAACTCAAATTAGAATTAAATTTATTGCAAAGTAAGATCAATAATTAGAGCAAGATAAAAGATCCGCCACATGTGATAAGGAGTTTTTAGGCAATTCGAATACACTCAGTAATAAGGAAAAAAATAAGGAAGGACATTTAGAATGTAGTGCCAGTTTTAAAATCACAATCATCTAACATTGATCTTATGGTTGAAAAAATTATTATTACAAAAACATAATTAATGATAGCTTGGATAGTTTCCTCAATTACATGTGATAAAAATAGTGATAAATCAAATCATAAAGTATTTAAATTTAAATCACCTGCCATAAAATCTCGATCCAAAATTATTTATGATATGATAAATGATATTGATCAAACACAGATCAACAGAACAACGACAACAGAAATTACTAGTACTGATGAACCATTTGAGGTAATTTAATATTTAAGTTTAGTTAAATTATGACTTCGAATAAATTTGTTTTACATCTTACAGACTGACGAACAGGAAGAAAAACAAACAAACTATAACATGCTTAGAAGTAACAGCTTAGTATCTTCAGGTAAATACCTAAACTTACTATAGAATACCCTATAATTTACATGAAATTTTAGATACACTTGAATTCCCAAACTCCAATCACAAGATTTTGTGAAATTTATATGTTGTTGATATTTGCATAATGTTATTATTTATATTCCAGGAGTAGAAAAAAATAGCAGTACTAGATCTCAATTCACCAATGAAAATAATTTAAATTATGAGCAAGCTCCAGAAAAGAAATCACAGTTTACATTCAAATCTTCTTCAAATATTATTGAAACTAAAAAAACAGAAAACCATTCAAAATCTGAAGATGTTTTTAACTTATATGATGAAAATGAGACTGAATCATAGGTAAATTTATTTTTGGAACACAAACGTCATATTTTGATAAGAGTACATGTAGCAACTTTTCTTTTGTTTTATTTTGTAAAACCATATTTTTAGGTAATGTTTTTGATGCAGAATTAGATGATGATGGATGGCAAACATACAATCCTAAGGACTTTTGAAATTTGAAAATCAATGCAAACCTAGAAAGAGTTCACCAAAACAAATTAACAGAGTTTTCACCTAAAAGAGTTCACCAAAACAAATAACAGAGTTTTCAAATAAATCAAATGCCCAAATTTCAAGAAACAATGAAGATCAAAAAAATGGGTTAGGTAAATTTAGACAGGGAATAGAAACGATGCTTGCACAGGTAAATTCTATAATGTTATATTTGTCTGAGTATATACTAATATTATATATAGCCTAAATGTATAATTAGATAGGCAGATTAGTTTTTGGAATTAGAAATAAAAGCTCTTATATTAAATATTTAACTTTTAAATGATGAATATGAAAAGCGCATTCAATGTCTACTAACAAACTGATATCTGATAGTGCATGTTTTTTTTAAAATTTCATTTAATTTTATTTTTATTGTAGGAGAATTTGACAACAATTATGATCACACTAAGGAAATGATGATTGCTTTTAAAGAAATATTTGGTCTTAAATCATTCAGGACAAATCAAAGCAGGTCATAAACGCTGTCTTGTTAGGGCCATGATTGCTTCGTCTTAATGCCACACGGTAATTTGATCCTTATCTGAATAACTAAAATATGGTTGAGGTATATGGTTAAATACAATAATTAAAATATAAATTCTGAAGTATTATTTAAATGATTTTTTGTTCCAATAGTTTTATAATTATTGAACTTATTTATCTATTCAGTCTAAGAATATTTATCTTTATTTTAAAGGCGGAGGAAAGTCTTTATGCTACCAGCTGCCAGCTTTGTTGAAACAAGGTGTTACTGTTGTGATATCTCCATTAAAATCCTTGATATTGGATCAAGTCAATAAGATGGACACTCTGGATGTAAGTAGTGGACTGACTGAAACTTTTTTAGATTTATAAGAGTGTTAAGTAAATTTACTACAATTAATTTGCAGTATATAATAATATCTCTTTTTATAGATACCTGCTGATCATATTCTGGTGATGTTTCAATAAACATTGTAATAGAATTTATGATGACATGAAGTCTTCAGATCCAAAAATTAAATTTGCTATATATTACTCCAGAAAAAATAGTATCTTCCA